GGCTGGTGGGGCTGGCGGTGGTGATGGTGGCCCAGGTGGACTCGAGGCGGCGGTGCTGGGGACGGCGGAGGTTGTGGCTCTGGAGGCGGGGATGATGGTGGGGGTGGCGGGGGAGGGGTGATGGTGGTGATGGTGGTGTGGGGGTGGTGATGGTGGCGGCGGGCTGACCACTGTCACCACCGCTTCCCATAGCTCGGAAATCGTGTACTCGTCATACTCCACATTTGCCAGCAGGCTGTACGGCGCTGCAGTCCCACCATACTCAAAGCCACACAGCTGAGTTTCCAGGTACTCCGCGGCACTGAAAAAGCCCATTCGAGACTGCTTGGACCCGAGACTGTTCTAACCGTTATCACAGAGGTCTCGGTGAGGTTGTTGAGGGCGTCAGATCGGATGGGTTGTCCACGCAGGTTGTAGCGGCGTCACCGTGCCAGTAGAGTGTGGCCTGCCAGCTGCCCTCCTCAAAGGTGATAGCAGGTGGTGGAGATGGAGGGGAGGGGGAAAGGGTGGGGGGATGGAGGTGGTGATGGTGGTGGGCATGGAGGCGGAGGGAGCAATGGAGGTGGCAGTGGCGGGGGTGAAGGAGGGGGCGGAGGCGAAGGCGGAGGTGCGGGATATGGAGGATACAGAGGTATCTGTGGGGGGATTGGAGCAAAAGGTGGGTTAAAAGGAGTCTGGGGGCTTGGCGGCGGATCAGCCTGATCCCAGTACTCGGCACCTAAACACACAGGTATAAGTCACCTCTTAGACACAGAAAAGTGACCATCGGTAAAAAAGGGGTTTCGAATCAGCTGTGAATGGGACTAAAAGTGGTCGCACACTGCACTTGCAGTTCCATGGGTCAGCACTTATGAACCTGGTTGCCCGATCTTTGCAGCTTGACCTGCTAATACTTATTTGCACATCAGAAAGGTCTGCCCGAATACACTAACCAGTAGGGCATGGGCACACAGAGCGAAATCAGAGTACAGTTCGCTCACCCTTTCACAACTCCCAGTTTTCACCCGCAGTGACTGAGGACACAAGTGATCGAAGGTACGGGCGTGACTTACTATTCCAACAACAGTAGTTGTTTATCTCAAAGAAACAGTATTGGAAATACTGGTACGATGAGTGTTCAGGGCATTGTCCAGCTCCACATCCAACAAACCCGCATTCACCGTCCCAGAGCAAGCGCCTGGAGTGCCGCACTACCTCTTCCTGCAAACGACCCCTCTCAGTTCCGAGGTGAAACAATTTAAATGTAAGTTGCAGTGAAAGTGAGCATGCACACAGGAGACAGATTATATCAAGCACGCAGTGTGCGGAAACAACAACCCCAAAGCTGTTCGACAAGAGTTGACGTGTGCATGAGTCAGAGTTGGTTTGACTACAAAGGAAGCCGTCTTGTTCTTCAAAGCAAGCGTCTCAAAGCTGAAATCCCCAGCAACGTGTGTGAAATCCGTTGGCGTCGCAATATCACAGTCAGAGGGCATCGAAAGCCATTGATAAAGCAGAGACTGTAGAGTGTGGTGCCTCGTGTCTGCAAGCTGTTTAACAATGCGCTTGGAAGCCCACGGAATGTCTGATATAGACAAAGCGCGAAAAAGAAGTAAAGTGCAAAGCACCCCGCAGATGTTACAAAGGTTGCCCAAGGAGTTCTGTGAAACTCTTCGTGTAATACGCTACTCAGGTTTTGTGGAGGGAGCGCGCATTGCAGTGTGCAGCACACGCGACCCGTAACAACGGGCGACTGTCCCTCCGGGCACTGTGGACAGTGTACGACAGCGTGATGGTCCTGTGGGGAGCGCGCATTGCAGTGCGCAGCACACGCGAATCTGCAACAACGGGCTACTGTCCCTCCGGGCACTGTGGACAGTGTACGACAGCGTGATGGTCCTGTGGGGAGAGTGCATTGCAGTGCGCAGCACACGCGACCCGTAACAACGGGCGACTGTCCCTCCGGGCACTGTGGACAGTGTACGACAGCGTGATGGTCCTGTGGGGAGAGTGCATTGCAGTGCGCTGCACCACGCGACCTGTAACAACGGGCGACTGTCCCTCCGGGCACTGTGGACAGTGTACGACAGCGTGATGGTCCTGTGGGGAGAGTGCATTGCAGTGCGCAGCACACGCGACCCGTAACAACGGGCGACTGTCCCTCCGGGCACTGTGGACAGTGTACGACAGCGTGATGGTCCTGTGGGGAGAGTGCATTGCAGTGCGCAGCACACGCGACCCGTAACAACGGGCGACTGTCCCTTTGAACTCACGGCTGGTAAGTGAGAATGTTATGCGTACGAAACTGCAGGAAGCATATTGAGGACATATCTAGAAGTGCAAAGCGAAACCACCCCTCCCACACAGGCAGAAAGTAACATACCCTGAGAGAGCTAGTGCGAGGAAAGTCTTGTTGTGCGCTATCCCTTTGAGATAGAATCGAGCTTCTGGGCACACAAGGTGAATCCTCTCCGCCTCCCACACGGCCGCTGCGAGGAACACAGTCCTGACTGTAATGTTCACTTCCCAAGCGGGCTTCGTAATATTCATGACAGCGCCGCTCCGAGATGCCACGGCAGCCGTCCGGGGCCGGCGTTGGTCCCCCTGCAAATGCCAAGACTCTGTCAACAAGGCCAATTTTGTCCATTGAGTACGGAGTCAAGGCTCTCAGGCATATGTGGCACGTGGCGTGTAAGCGCGGTTTGAAATATCACTATGTGTCTACACGGACCGGTGGGACCCAATGGCAAATATGGAGCATCCCACAGAAAAGTCCTTGAAGATATTTGTAGCGAACAAGAAAAGCGGCCATAGTCGACAAACTGCAACAACTAAAGTGCGTATCGAACGTTGGCAACTCTCACGACAGGCAGGGATGCAAACTGGTGTATGTGCGCGCCATCCGTGTGCAGTGTGTACGCGCTCACTGAGGTGCTGCGACTTTCGCAAAGGCTGTCCACAATTCATATACTAAGCTCCCTTCCGAACTCCCTTCCGAACTCAGTTCAGTCGAAAGAAAGCAATAAAATGGTGTCCAAATTTTGAGCTGCACCAGAACGGCCACACCTGCTACTTGCACAGATACCAGCAGCACTTGAAGCAGGCGGACATATTTTTTCCGGAATGCCGTCGGACTTCCAATTGCATGGAAGCCTAGGTTTGAGCGCCTTTCGCTCCTCATACAGCAAACCGCTTTGAGCAGAGCGGTATCAATACAGGGCAGTCACTCGGTTGAGAGGTACTTCTGCGCGTCGGGCATAGCATATCGAGAAGAGAGATGAACGCGGACGAGTTACGAGAGAGTTACGAGAGAACGCGGACGCCGTAATCTGCGAGCAGTCATCCCGAATCTCAAGCAAGATCTGCTGAAGAAAACAAGGCCTAATAAGTGTCAAGCGATCTTTGCGACTGAAATATTACCCTCATGCACTGTTTAGAGGCAACACGCATGCCAACAGGCTTGACTTAAAGACATCCGAATTCTAGAAAACGTTGGTGCCGAGAGCGTGCATACGGAATTACCAGGGAGATATAGCCGAGCTCCATTTAACAGCGTGGAACATGGTTAGAATGAAAGCATACGCGGATGGGTTTATTGGCGAAAGAATATCCTTAAATGGAGCCAGAAGCGGGTGGATCGAATGCTGGCGAAGGAACGTCGGGTGTAAGTGTTTTCCGGCACTTGGACTTCTTAGGGTTTGGATTAGGACGTGCACGCCAAATAGCAAGGAGCAGCTTCAGGCAGTGTAAACACTAGATTGACCCGGACCCTGCAGATGCCCATGGATATGCTCTTGTGTGTTTGATGGCACAAGTCGATTCTAAAGGCTGCTTGCACTGCGCAATTGGCCCTAGCGAACTAATTCTCCAGGTGCAAGAGAAAGCACTTTCAAACTGGACCACACCCTCACCTGAGACACAAAGTGAGGGACCAAGTGCGAAGGTTTCCACGACAGCTGGTATAATTTACTGTTCAGGGACCGGCAAGTGAGGCGGGCACACCTTTGTGGTCAAGACAAGCAACCCGGTGCTACCGTCTAGACGTCGACACCTCTAGTTCAGCCAGCGCATGCCAAAGTTTGTGATGTCCCAGTCCGACGGGTTTCGACGCAAGCCAAGGATATGCAGTTCGACACACGCTACTATGATCGAGAGAAATTTGAAGAGCGTTTGACTTCTCAGCATGGACGTTATTCGGTTAGACCGAACCCTAAGTTGAAATGTCGCTTCAAGGTTTCATAGCCAGCCTCAAGAAAATTTACTTGCATAATCGGCAAGCATGGTTCCAACCCTTTTAGTCCAGCAGACTGTTTCGTCTTGGGGTTTTCTTGAATCAACACATGATGATGAAGCCACCGTACGTATTTGTGGGATGATTTTTTGTCATCATGTACTGTACATGTATGGTTTGTCTTGATACAAACGATACGTTCGGAAGTTACCCAAGTTTCTTCGGTCAGTTCGGTTTAGATTTGATTTCCCCCCCAACCGCACGTTCACGTGTTAAAATCTGAAACCGCAACCAACGCATCGCCAACCTCGACAGACATTCACATATATTAAAAGAAAGACCTTGCGCTAAGCTAAGGCTTGGGATAGGCTGGGATTTCGGGATGATGACCCGTCGCGTCGCGTCGTCGTCATTCGGGGGGGGGAAACGCCCAGAATCGAGAATCAGAATGCAGAAAAAGGGATGTTTGACACTCGCCAACATGAATATCAGAAAACGAAGACGGAGACAAAACATCATTAATGACCATAATTGCAAAAGACCACACAGATGTCATCTGGAGACGAGATGGCCGAGCGGTCTAAGGCGCTGGAGTAAGGTTCCAGTCCGAAAGGGCGTGGGTTCAAATCCCACTCTCGTTAGCAGATTTTGTTCCAAAGGACTCGTTTCTCTGTTCTGCGTTGTTGCCATAGCCAAGTGTAACTTATATAACCATGCAAGCCTAAAAATGTAAAATACACCATATAAAAAAGTATAATATTTTGCTTTTGTTGGCAGTAATGGCATCAAATCTCCTGTAGCTCAGTTGGTAGAGCGCACGGCTGTTAACCGTGAGGTCTCTGGTTCGAGCCCAGGCGGGAGAGCTGTGTTGGCCGGCCAATGTGAATCTGAGTGTATGTCACATGCCAATATTTCGATCTTTCACACGTATATCCAGATGCCCAGCCCAACGCTTGCGCCTGCTTTGCCTTGCACCAATGGCTATTGGCCACCCGATTGTGTGTATACTTGATACTAGAGAGGTGCCGATGTTTTACTCCGGGTTACGGATTACGCTCTAACCCGTAGAGGTCACAGTTGTCCCCAAATCGGCACCCTGTTTTAGAATATGGATATATATATATAGTATGCGTTACCAAATCACAAGCCCGTTGATGCTATATGCATCACATTCGAGTCCTTGACAGCGCCCAAAAAATCGCATTCAAAAATATTAAGTTCCCGAAACGAGATCTATACTACTCTTGTCCCCAGAGCTTATGGACGAAAATAGACATTTAGGGTTTGTAACTCTGTGGGGTCCATAAGCTCTGGCATGACTCGGCAGGCCTCCAAATCGATGTCCTCCAAAGTGCACACCACTTCAGGGGCTTCAGCACGAGGGCCAAACAAACAGAAGTTCTGCTCAACACATGCCCAGAAATTGACCTGAGCTCAAGTTATGGAGGTAAACGTCCTGAAAACTGCCAGGTTTTCAGTGAGCTGCAAAAGTCTGGCACCAAAATCATTCAAAACTACATAACTTTAGCGCACTCTATCCAAATTCAACAAAGTACATAGATAACTTCATCAGTTTTTCACGACTTACGCACTCCAACCATTTGTTTGTACATCATGTGCCAATTTCCCTGCCTCGGTCACCATACCCTAAACCATATGACAGCTGATGACACGCTACATGCAAATGCACCTAACCCTACACCCCTAGCCTAAATGGACCCCCCCGGGAGCTCACTAAGCCCCCTACACCCATCCTTATACCCACATGTTCACCACAGCCTGCACTTTAAGCCGGTGCCATGCATCATGTGCCAATTTCCCTGCCTCGGTCACCATACCCTAAAATGTATGACAGCTGATGACACGCTACATGCAAATGCACCTAACCCTACACCCCTAGCCTAAATGGACCCCCCCGGGAGCTCACTAAGCCCCCTACACCCATCCTTATACCCACATGTTCACCACAGCCTGCACCTTAAGCCGGTGCCATGCATCATGTGCCAATTTCCCTGCCTCGGTCACCATACCCTAAACCATATGACAGCTGATGACACGCTACATGCAAATGCACCTAACCCTACACCCCTAGCCTAAATGGACCCCCTCGGGAGCTCACTAAGCCCCCTACACCCATCCTTATACCCACATGTTCACCACAGCCTGCACTTTAAGCCGGTGCCATGCATCATGTGCCAATTTCCCTGCCTCGGTCACCATACCCTAACCGTATGACAGCTGATGACACGCTACATGCAAATGCACCTAAACCTACACCCCTAGCCTAAATAGACCCCCCCCCGGGAGCTCACTAAGCCCCCTACACCCATCCTTATACCCACATGTTCACCACAGCCTGCACTTTAATCCGGTGCCATGCATCATGTGCCAATTTCCCTGCCTCGGTCACCATACCCTAGACTATATGACAACTGATGACACGCTACATGCAAATGCACCTAACCCTACACCCCTAGCCTAAATGGACCCCCCCGGGAGCTCACTAAGCCCCCTACACCCATCCTTATACCCACATGTTCACCACAGCCTGCACTTTAAGCCGGTGCCATGCATTATGTGCCAATTTCCCGGCCTCGGTCACCATACCCTACACTGTATGACAGCTGATGACACGCTACATGCAAATCCGCCTAACCCTACACCCCTAGCCTAAATGGACCCCCCCGGGAGCTCACTAAGCCCCCTACACCCATCCTTATACCCACATGTTCACCACAGCCTGCACTTTAAGCCGGTGCCATGCATCATGTGCCAATTTCCCTGCCTCGGTCACCATACCCTAAACTGTATGACAGCTGATGACACGCTACATGCAAATGCACCTAACCCTACACCCCTAGCCTAAATGGACCCCCTCGGGAGCTCACTAAGCCCCCTACACCCATCCTTATACCCACATGTTCACCACAGCCTGCACTTTAAGCCGGTGCCATGCATCATGTGCCAATTTCCCTGCCTCGGTCACCATACCCTAAACCATATGACAGCTGATGACACGCTACATGCAAATGCACCTAACCCTACACCCCTAGCCTAAATGGACCCCCCCGGGAGCTCACTAAGCCCCCTACACCCATCCTTATACCCACATGTTCACCACAGCCTGCACTTTAAGCCGGTGCCATGCATCATGTGCCAATTTCCCTGCCTCGGTCACCATACCCTAAACTGTATGACAGCTGATGACACGCTACATGCAAATGCACCTAACCCTACACCCCTAGCCTAAATGGACCCCCCGGGAGCTCACTAAGCCCCCTACACCCATCCTTATACCCACATGTTCACCACAGCCTGCACTTTAAGCCGGTGCCATGCATTATGTGCCAATTTCCCTGCCTCGGTCACCATACCCTAAAATGTATGACAGCTGATGACACGCTACATGCAAATGCACCTAACCCTACACCCCTAGCCTAAATGGACCCCCCCGGGAGCTCACTAAGCCCCCTACACCCATCCTTATACCCACATGTTCACCACAGCCTGTACCACAGGATGGAAAACGTCACCTAACTAATGTCCCAAATCTTTGTGCACAATACCAAACCCAAAAAGAGGCTGAGTGCACGCCTTATGCTTTCGCGCCAAACCCTACCCTTCCAAGCTAAACAAGCCGTTGCGTGAGCACCATAAGCCCCCCACACACACTCTCATATCGAGGCGATATTGGGGAAGCCCACACCTTTTATTTGCCGTTTGGTTTGCTGAAATCACTCAAAAATTCAACCCGGGGTGCTCATTCTCACTCCACGAGGGGATGCTCCACCCTGCAAACATATCCCATGAGCCATCAACATTGGGCAAGTGTGCATCAGTTTCATGACTAGTTCACGCCTTAAAGCAGTTAGGGGAGAGCCTTACCTTCAATATGCCGTTGAGCTTGCTCGATTTGACAAACTTTAGAGCCTTGGGGACTCAATCTCGTTTGGGGTGGCCATGCTCCAATCTGCCAACATACCCTATCAGCCCTCAACGTTTGCGACCTCTACACAACTTTCATGACTACTTGCAATAGAAAATATGATAGGTAGGACCTTTACCTTCAATATGCCGTTGAGCTTGCTCGATTTGACAAACTTTAGAGCCTTGGGGACTCAATCTCGTTTGGGGTGGCCATGCTCCAATCTGCCAACATACCCTATCAGCCCTCAACGTTGGCGACCTCTACACAACTTTCATGACTACTTGCAATAGAAAATATGCTTGGTAGGACCCTTACCTTCAATATGCCGTTGAGCTTGCTCGATTCCGTTAACTATGGAGGTTGGAGTGCTCGTTCTCGCTCATTGGGGTTAATGCCGCATCTGCGAACATACCCTATCAGCCCTCAACGTTTGCGACCTCTACACAACTTTCATGACTACTTGCAATAAAAAAAATGTAGGTGGGACCCTTACCTTCAATATGCCGTTGAGATTGTTCGATTCCGTTAACTATGGAGGTTGGGGTGCTCGTTCTCGCTCGTTGGGGTTAATGCCGCATCTGCGAACATACCCTATCAGCCCTCAACGTTGGCGACCTCTACACAACTTTCATGACTACTTGCAATAGAAAATATGCTAGGTGGGACCCTTACCTTCAATATGCCGTTGAGATTGCTCGATTCCGTTAACTATGGAGGTTGAAGTGCTCGTTCTCGCTCTTTGGGGTTAATTAATGCCGCATCTGCGGACATACCCTATCAGCCCTCTACGTTTGGACCCTCTACACAACTTTCATGACTACTTGCAATAGAAAATATGTTAGGTGGGACCCTTACCTTTAATATGCCGTTGAGATTGCTCGATTCCGTTAACTATGGAGGTTGGAGTGCTCGTTCTCGCTCGTTGGGGTTAATGCCGCATCTGCGGACATACCCTATCAGCCCTCTACGTTTGGACCCTCTACACAACTTTCATGACTACTTGCAATAGAAAATATGCTAGGTGGGACCCTTACCTTCAATATGCCGTTGAGATTGCTCGATTCCGTTAACTATAGAGCGTTTAATCAATCATCTCCGCCACGCTTAGCTTGCGCTATTCTGCGAAAGTACCCTATCAGCCATGCGTTTTAAAGGGCCCTAGAGGCCTCCTATTCGCAAGCAAGCAAGAAGAAATAAAAGTTAGAGTTCACACCTGCAATATGTCGTCGAGATTGAGCGATTCCGTTAACTATAGAGCGTTTAATCCATCATCTCCGCCACGCTTAGCTTGCGCTAATCTGCGAAAGTACCCTATCAGCCATGCGTTTTAAAGGGCCCTAGACGCCTCCCATTCGCAAGCGAGCAAGAATAAATAATAGTTAGAGGTCATACCTTGAATATTCCGTCGAGTTTGCTCCATTACGTTAACTACACAGCTTGCAATAAATTATCGTATCCTCGTTTTCGGCTGTTGGTTTAACCTATTTGCGGGGAAAAGAGATAGCGAAAACGGGCATTTGAGCGCTTTTGCCAAGTAATGCCAGAGTTTCTCCGAGCCTCTTCCATCAACTGTAACGCCGACCCTCGCGTGTCGCAGGCCGCGCAGCGGCCGCGCTCGGAGAAACTCTGGGAACAAGAGTAAGATCTATACGGTTGAATACACTCCTGTATAAAGAGCCATGTCCCCAAATCGGCACCCAGATCTACACATATAACGACAAAACAGGGTATAATGTATGCATATATATTTCGTATTCTATAACGAATTGGGTTGTCCAATAGGCACCATTCAAAAGGCCGTGGGAAAACGGTCAAGAAAACTTATACATGCAACGAAAATAGATCACTAGAATTGTCAGGGATATGACCGATGACATATGTGTCATACGTGTCATACCTATCATACATGTCATGTCATGTCATGTCATATGTCAT